AAAAAAACCGTTACCCAAGGGGGCGGGAGACGGCAGGCAGCTGCATGCTGCAGGTCACTCTACAGGATCCCGTTAACTTCAGCGCAAGTGCGTACATCGCTCATTGTGAAATGGTTGCCTGAGTGACCGGGAGGGTAAAGAGCTTCTTGCAGCCGCGGAGCGTTTCCTGACTCGTTGCGAGTTCCTGACTTGGTCCACCCCAGGGTAGCGTTCGCGAAAGATGAATGCGATTCCTGTGAGATACTTGCTTACCGTTGATGGCAAGAGTTCTCGCGATACCACCGAAATGAAGTGGCAAAGGTTGGTTTCGCTTGGGTAGAAGTCCTTGCCTTGGTTTTCACAAAACTTGGCGAATCGTCTCGCCCCTGACTCGTACTTTGCTTTCGAGTTTGGTTCGAGATGATGGTCTATATCGTCCTTGTTCATAGCTTCGAGTTCCTGAAAACTGAGCTTTTTAGGCGGACGTTTTGCTTTTTTCATTTTCCGGCGTTGAGTCGGATGGTTTTTAGGATAAATAGTTCGGATCGGTCAAGCAGGTTTTGAGGAGGAGCTGACCGTGAGGTTTTTTATGTGGTGTTTTACAACTTTCGAGCAAAGTGAGACAGTGAACTAGACAGTGTAGAAACGGAAACGAAGAAAAAATAGATTTTTTTTATTTTTTATTTTTATTTGTTTTGTGAAGTGTATTAAGAGAGAAAGAGAGAAACGGTTTTTTGGGGGAATCAAGCCGTCGAGAGGAACGACCGGCTTGTGCAACCTCCAACAAGCAATTCCGGTTCCGGTTCGATGTTGATTACCGTAACGTTAGGAGCTAGGGCCTTTGTTCTGTCAGCCAAGAACCTAGAGATCGAGTCGGCTACCTTGTTATCCTTGTTCGATATGTGACGCACTTTCACGTCCATTTTTTTGTCCAACATTAGGTTTACCGCGAACTTAAAGACAGTTCTGATCAACGGTATTGGCTTGTGGGAGCTGAATAGGTGTGATACCGACTCATTGTCCGTGAAGATAAGCACTTTCCTTGCCTTAATGCTGGATGCCAGCTTTATTGCCAAGGTAACCGCCAGAAGCTCGGCCCAGTAAATGTTACGGGCTGGGGGCGGCAGGGAGTAACACCATCCCATGGCTGTGGCCGGGCGCCATATGCCAAGGCCGACTGGACATGCATCACAGAAAAAGACGCAGTCTGCCGCTTTGAGCGGCCAGTGGAGGTTTTCTAAGACCAACCTTCCTTCCCAGGCTTCCAGTGCATTGGCCAGCCAGTTGAGATCATCTTTGTTGGTTCGGTTAAGTGGGATGTGAGCGCTGCGAATTGATTTACCCGACATCTTGTCCCAAGAGGACTGAATCGACCATCTTCCCAGAGGGAAGATGTTCAGCGCCCAGTTGGCCCAGCCTGTTAGGCGCTGCCATTCCACCAGGGGATGGGAGATCTTTGAGGTGAATAGTCGTAGGGCGGAGATAAGTTCTGACCGTTTCTTTTCAGACAGTGTGATTGAAAGCTTGTCGCAATCGATGGTGTGGCCGATTACTTCTAGCACCGTACCGTGGAGCTGTTTCTCCCAAGCCCACGGTAGACCGATATAGTCGAAGATGGTGAGGAATTTTGCTTGATTTCGAGGAATACTCCTACCTTTGAAGTTGACGAGGGAGGAAGTCAGGTCTGAGCCCCACGAGTTGTCCATGTACGAGTTCAGTTCCGTAATGCCGAATTCGTAGTAAGCAATCCACAAGACCAGAGAAAAGAACGAGCACCAAAGTTTTGGAGAACTTGAGCATCCAAAGTTCACATTTCTATCTGCGTGGAAAGCCTTACCTATTTTGACGATTTGTCGTAGTTGCCATTGTAGAGATGCCGGCAGGACTCTGAAAGCGCCGTCCACATCAGACTTCCATATTAGCACTCGATGATTTGAACGGTGGTGAATGAGTAAATGGGGAATGAAGGAAGCGATAGAGTCTAGGTCTATTTTGATTTTCTCTTTGTTAATCAGGTCGTTGGGAGATGGTCGGCCAAATGACATATTTGTACATGTCCGTACTTTGCCCGAGTTTGGGTTGGTTGCCAGGCAGAGAGGCGAAACCTTCATGCCCGGCAAGAGAGTGTAGAATGGGGGGGAATATCTTCCTGCTTTGAGCTCTTTGTCCCTGGCCTGTTGCAGGGTTTTTTCCGCTTCAGGCCCAGACACATGGTTTTCGTGATAGGTAATGTCATCTGACGGTTTGGCTGAGAGAGGCCAGAAACCCTCCGACAACCCGAGCACAATTGAGTCGACGAAAGGTCTGTTGGGGTGATTTTTGAGTAGAAGGGAGAAATTTTTGATGTTTATTGGACAGGTGATTTTGAAAATGTCGGGTCTTTGTTTGATAGCGTAAGCGGCTAACGGATCGGATTCTATGGGAGGAGCTGCGGGAAGAGGCTCCGCGTGGAGAGAGGATTCGACTGAGGCTGAGTAGCCCTCAGATAACGCGTCGATTTCTAGTCCTCGAAGAAATCGACAACTGTTAGGCTCATTTGTGAGCAACGCCTCCTTGATGAGTGCCATCGCATCCAACTTTGTTGCACAGATTGTGTATTCTGTCGCACTCATCGTCTGCGTGGGGACAAACACCGAGATTCCAATTATTACAAATTTGATCAGCAATAGATACGCCCTTGGCTGGTTTGACGGTGTAGTTGGGTTTGTTGCGGCGACCTCTGGGCTTTTTTGGTTGAGCTGGGCGAGGTGCTTTGGTCGTATAAGGAGTTGATTGAGTTTCGGCCCGTGGTGGTAGAGGTGTTGGTATAGCTGCTCGGGCGGTTTGTGAAAGTCTGCTGGCTGCGCTGTAGAGCACCCGATTGTCGATGCCCCTGAGGCTTTCATGGGTATAGTCACCCCATACCAGCCATGGCCGAGAGGAGAACTCCTTGCGCATTTCGACGTCGAAGTCACGGACGTCTTCCCAATTGACCTTTGCTTGAAAAAGGCCAGGGAGACCAAAGATGTAGTCAAAGTACTTTTTGATAGATACTGCAGCGGGGGGGAATGCCGCGATGTAAGCATGGCGTGCCACGGCCATGAGATCCTTCCAGTGGTCACTGTTCGTGATCTCTTTGGGAGGAGCACCATTGATGCTTTTGAGCTTCCCGACGTCATTGACTTTGAGAAATGATTCCGACGGCCCGTTGGACGAGACTTCTCCGTATAATTTTCGTAGGTCAACGAAATTATATTCCAGTAGGTCTTTGGTGAGTTTGTTGTGCCAATTGGCCGGCCGGTTACCGCAGGAATTGAACAGAGAGATGTACTTTTTAATATTTGATTTGTATCTGATAGCGATTTTTTGAATTTTCGAAGAAAGGGGGGTAAAAGCCTCAGGGGAGAGATGTTCGTTGTGAGCCAGAAATGGTATCTCATCATCGTCTTCCCCCTCGGACCCAGAGAAGGCTGGTGCCTCAGAGTCAGCTGGTGCTGGCGGAGGATTGAAGTCTCCATCCGACGAAGAATTGGACGAAGAAGACGTGGAGGGAGGAGACTCATGTCTTTTCCTTTTCTGCTCTTTGAAAATGGGTCGGGTCGGTTGTTTTTCGGCGACGTTGGTCGCCGGAATCGGGGCAATTCGATCAGCCAGGTTGCTGCTTGGCTGAGCGGTTGACAATTTGATGTTTGACCCGCTAGCTTCAGGTTCACGAGTTGCTGAGACTCGTAGAGCGAGAGGGATTTCGCCTCCTCGAGCCTCTTCTCCATGTTTGACGGATGAGGTTTGACGACGGTGTCTTCGTCGATTTTTCCTTTTTCCCGTCGAAGAGGGGGGTCCAATAGAGGGCAACTTTGGCTGAAACGGAGGTGGCGGAGGGGACGGCGGAATTGGTTGAGACTGGTGATGGGCTTTTCCAGCTGGGAACATTGACAGGTCTTCCAGGTTTTGGTTAAGATCAGCTGTCTTGAACCCAGCTGGGAGGCGCTTCCCAATGAAGCCTCGAGGCGGCCGGTAATAGCTGGCGTCATTTGTCGGCCTGACCTTCCTGCTAAGAACGTAAGGAGGATTGGCCAGTGGATCGGCATTTTCCGGCAGTTCGTCCACTGTGCCGTATTCGATGCGGCGTTGGGCGTGGTCGAGCGCAATGGCCACCCTTGCGAACGCTGACCAGTGGAATATGAAGTCTGGAGCTGAGGGGCTGTAAACTTGTGCCACTTGGTCTCGGAGCTGAGCCATTGAGATGGATGAGCTGCCTCCCCAGACATCATAGTTTTCCAAGATTGCATCTATAGCTTTAAAACGATCTTGGGCCAAGTTTGCCTCTGCGATCATAATTTATACGGGAAACGATGAATTTATTTGGCCGCGACTTTGTTCTAGGTCTTTTTTGGTTTGTGACAAGAGTCTTATAATTTTAAGAACGATTAGAAGAGATCCTTAAATAATAGAGCGATCAACAAAAAAGGTTGGATATTTTTTGTTTTTATATAAGACTGAATAAGAGAAAAAAGGCTATAGTGAAAAGAGAATTGCGCGGACTGATAATTTTTGTAAAGAAATTTCTAAGTGGGACAAATGAGCTTCTCGACAGAGGACAGGAATTATAGGGAAATAATTTTTTAACGCTCATTGCATCCTAACGTCCATCCTCTGCCGGCACGTGAGATGGAAGTATCTCCGCCGGAGAGGATGGGACGTTATGGTTCCACCCCGCGTGTTTTCACTACCCGGACGCCTTTTCGACCCCATTCCTGTATGTCAATACGCGTACCGACTCCCAGTCTTTCTCCATGTTGTACAAGTGGAATCATCAAATTCCCCTCGTCTTTTGCTGAGCTACACAAAGTAAAATCTAAAGGTGCTTTTTGTATAAAGCCATACCCCTCAGCACGTGATTTTCATGACCCGACACGCTCGGGCTATTTGTTCTCACTTCACTCTGCTTGTGGTACTACTGGTACTTACAATCTTTCAAGTTCACGCCACATTTTCGTATAGCCTTCTTGACGCTCAATACATACCTTTCTTATGCTTACACGTTTGCTTTCAAGAACATTCGTTGCGAATGCAACTGCGCATTCTCTCTCGTCTCGGCAACGTGCAAGGAATACAATCAAGCCAGAAATCCCTCAATCTTTGCGTACAAATACTTGAGCCTATCACTTCCAGCATTAAAGAGGTTCCCAGATGGGAATATGGGTCCTAGTGATCAGATTCCCATTCTGCTACTGTTACACAGTTCCATGAATATTGCCTGAGTAGCCATTGTGATATATGTAGTCAATATTTTGAAATGTGTGTCTCAATCTGAACAAAGTTACAGCATGTATTACACATGATTTTCTTATCTAGATGAGCAGATAACTGAGCGGACCTGTATGTAGCTGATAGCTAAGGATTTACTCAGATGTTTGCATATATGTAGTGTATGCTTTATGGCTCAGATGTGCAGTGCGAGATGATGTGATGCTCCATTCTTCTCTCAATGATATTCCCAGCCTAGGTCATGTTCCGACCAGGGAACCTATTTAATGCTGGCAGTGTATCAGACAGAGGTGGTTTCGGAAAAATTCATGACAATGTTTCAGCAACCAGGTTGACCGCTCCAGATTGACACAGTGGTGTTGCTCATCAATAAAAAACACACCTTCTTGCGAGCTGGCACCGGTTATGGGAAGTCACGCATACCTGAGGTCTATGCGGCGTTGCATAGCGACAAGCCCAGGTCGATTGTATTGACGATTGTGCCCCTGGATTCACTTGTAAATGACCAGGTATGATAGGCAGCAACTGTTCACATGTCAACATTTTTTAATTGAGGAAATCCATGTTACAAATTTGTGTGTATCTAGGTTGCCAACAAGATTCAGCGAGGCCTTTCCGCCATTAACTGCAGCGCGGAAAATGCAACTAGAAAAAACCTTGAAGATATAAAGCTGGGAGTATATCAGTATGTCTACATGGTAAGCATGAAATGTGACCACGTGGAAACCAGAAACTGATGTATCTTTTGCCTTTTGTAGAGCCCTGAAGTCTATCTCAACAACGGGCATTTTCGTACTGTCTTTTTCTCAGCGGAATTTCAACGACGTCTGATCTTAACTGTGATTGACAAGGCACACCAAATATACTCTTGGGGCCTTGTAGAATCTCGAGAAGCTCGTCACTCCACTGCTCACCTACAGACCCAGGATCGAGGTGTTTTTAGGCCGTCATATGGGAACCTAGGCCAGCGATTATTGTCAGCTGGTGTGCCAGTTCTACTTTTATCAGCCACTTGTAGGCCTGTGGCAATTGAGGCAATCAAGAGGAACTTGAAATGGACCAATGAAGACCTAGTCATCCTTGAGGGCGAGTTGGTTCGCGAGGAGATTCGACTCATGCAAATACCACTTGAATACACTTCTAAGTCTGGCAATGACATTCGACGTTCTTTTGCACTGTCATCAATCATATCCGACTCGATGATACCACAAACTCTAATTTATTCGAATACTCAAAATGAAAACCTTGCTGTACATCAAGGGGTTCTTACGGCACGAGGCCTGTTGCACAAGCGTTTTAACGGTAAAAGTTCATGTATCCGTCGATTTCATGCGGTGACTGGCCCAAAAGATAAGAAGGAACATATTGAAGCATATGGCCAGGGAGAAGTGGCGATGATGGCTTGTACCATGGCGTTGGGAATGGGAACTAATTGGCCCCAAACCCGCCGCGTGATCACCTTGGGACGAACTGATCCTTCAGTCCTCGGCCAGATGGTTGGTCAATGTGGGCGAGATGGTAGACCGGGTGTAGGCATTATGCTAATGGAAACCAAGCGTACCAATGGTAAAAACTTTCTTAGTAATTTTGTGGATCACTATAAGATGACGGACGACAATCGGTTGGATGCTTTGTCAATCACTCCTGTATGCCTTTGAATTGCATTTCAAATTGATAACATGTAAGTCCTTACCGCTTCCTTTCAGTAATCAAGATGATGTAAGAGCTGATATACTTTGCATACTAGGATTGGTCATGTGCCTCTATCTTTTGATGATCCATTCTATGTGGAAGAGAGGGCACGTCAGCAAGAAAAGGGAAGGGTGAATGCCTCTGTTCAAATTGTCACCCCGAACTTGTAGCTTCATTCTTGAATATGCAGCCTCATCTCACCATCAAAAATTTCACCCGCATGATCACTACGACTGAGATTGGACCTCCGCCTGTAACCAATGGATGGGTAATGCCAGCTTTGAACGGTGCCCACTCAGAAACAGGTGTGATTGCTAGTTGCGCAGCAAACAAGGTGATCCGGAAAAACTCCCTTTTGAAGACGCTTGCTGCTGAACTCTCGGAAGCTTTTAACTCATTGTATCAAAAGCAATTTCCATCAAACAACTGCTATATTTGCCCTGCTCACATGTTTACTGATACACATATATGGAAAATCATTAAGAATTTTGAACAATTACAAAATGGGACCCCTCTGCGTTTGATTTTTGGTAGTGAGCCTATCAAGGGAACATATTCGATGATTGATTCAGCCCTCGCAAAATGGGCTGAATTGGAAGACTTTTGCGCGTACCTACTTGACTCAAAGGCTTGTGCTGAAAAGGTGGCGATTTCGGCTGCAAAACGAGAGGCTAATAAGAAAGCAAATCCCGACGGCTCTGACCTCAAATGGAAAAGGACTACATACCCGAACAAAAAGGAAACCACTAAAGGCGTTTCAAGATTGAACACTGTCAGTTCAAAGGATCAGGTTCAATATAAATCGATGTCTCAAACTCCTATAGGTATTTCTCAATCTGCTACAAGAACGGTCAAAAAGAAAGTCCCTCCGTATGCTTTCCAAATCAACCATGTTCGCAGGACAAAAACACACGTAAATCACTCCAAAATCAGGTCTGCTGTTAACTCCCTTCCCAAACATGACTTACAACCACAGTTACCTCTCTCAATTCTCAATTCTAATGTCAACACGCTTGACCAAAATGTCTTACAACCACGGGTACCTCACTCAAATGTCAATTCTACCGTTAACTCTCTTACCAAAGAGGTCTTACAACCACGGTTACCTCAAGGTGTAACCAATACTCGAACACACCCCTCATTCAATTCACTCAATGTGCCAAATGTTGAATCTCACACGTTTGGATATCCTAGTATTGTTTCACCATCTCGGTCAAATCTTTCAAAACAGCCTATGCTACTAAATGCCCCATGGAATTGCATAGTTTCACATCCAATTCCTGAACCACAAATGAGAGCCAACAGAGAAAATGAGGTGAGATCAATCAACTTACTCCATCTGTCGCATGTTTCACTTGCATTCAATTGCTAACTGGTAATCAAAGGATCCATTTGGATTGAGTCATTCCAATGGTTTTAGGACTCCCAATCTATTGCAGAATTCGAAAGATCCTCTTGAATGTTATGTAGAATTACCTGGCCAACAACTCAATGGTTACCTACAAGACGTGAGATCAAACATCGTACTATCACTCATATGTTTCACTCACTTCTAATCTCTTACTTGATTAGGGTCATTCGGTGTCAAATAATTCTCATGAATTTTTAACATCAAATACAAGACAATTTCAGAACACTCCAGAACAGATCTCGGGCGTTGTATTTGGGGATAATCAACACTTCATAATAAACGACCAACGTAATATACCGAATACAGATGAGTTATCAGGACCGCAAATCATGGGCCAGTTGGAAAATGAACATCAAGCCTGTGACCATCAAGCCATCAACAACAACAGACACGAGGTGAGATCAATCTATACACAATAAGAAACATGATTGTTTTTCTCACTCAGACACATTCACTCCTTCGTTACCCACAGTATCCTCCTCATCATCCGCAGGCAGGAAAGAGTTGGGGCAACCCCAATGGTACCGAGTGCCAGTCTTTTGGATTTCCTCCTTTCGCAGGATATCCTGAATCTTCGCATACCCCAAAGCAGAAATATCATTCACCAACTTGGGGTGGGCACGGTCAGTTTCTCTGAACAAGTAGTCTTTGGCCCGGCGGAGGAAGTGTTTCATGGAGGTCAGGGTGATCTTGTGATTATGAGATTGGTAAATAACCTTTTGACCTGATCTACGCTTGATGTCTCTCAAAAGCGATCGGAACTGAGATGATATAGAAGTATGTATGAGAAATGGTATCTGTCATTCATTTGACCAAACTAACTTACTAGCGGGATGTTTAAAGAAAAACGTTCAGTCAACCGATGTGTGTTTGTACCCGGCCCCTATGTAAGACATCAGTGATCAATTTATCAATTTTAATTGCGCGATTCAAGTGCAAGGGTCCCATGCGACGTTATGACTTACCGAATGATTATAAAAGTACTTGAGCCAGTAATTCTGAAGCTCTAAGAAAAAATCTTTAGCTATAAAGTGTCCAGCTCTTCCACTAGCGGGAATCAAAAGCAAATGTTTGATTACATGAGCCAAGGGCTTAGGGAGGTAGTGTTCAAGTAGCAAATACAACCTAGGTATATGGCGACCATAATGTGTCATTCCTTTCACCCCATGCAACATGAAGCACCATGATTTGAGTATTACCATGACCCGTCCTATATCTCCGTCTTTCATCGCTTGGTCCATCTCCACTATTGTACCAAGATCTCGCTGGCGTAATCAAAGGTTGTAACCTACTTGATCGTTACTCCGTTCTGCACACTCAAGAGACTCCACACTGAAGAACTCGGAATGACAAGCCTCGACTACTTCCTGAGCATTTTTAGTGTTGAGATGATCAAATGGAAGTCCTTTCTGTTCTAAGATATGACTACAAAAGTACGACAACGGCTTTAGTAATAGAGTGTATTTACTTAATGTTAGTCATTTGGAAAATCACTAACGACAAGCAGGCTGTGATCTCTGCTGCGTGAACCTGATGAACCATGTGCAGTATAGAATTGAAGTCCTTCTTTGAATGAACATTCTCGATCTTCACACCCACTGCAGACATTATTTGGGTTCCCCAAGTGGGCAGGGAAAAATGATTGGGAGTATGATTTGTCATAAAATGGTCTATCACTCCACACCTGAGCCATAACACCCACACTACATATGTGTAGCAGGCTCAGTGAAGAAGTGGTTATCATGTACATACAGTTCTACTCAGTTATCTGCTCATCAGGACAAGTTATTCATATGTAATACATGCTGTAACTTCTTTCAGATTGAAAAAAGCTTCCAAAAGATTGACTACATACACTGACTCAATGTTTTGGTGTGATCTCATCAACTCAACTGCATGTAACACACTTTCTGTTACTAAGACATAGCTTCAACAATACACTGTAAACATCATTCAACTTCCCCAATTTGGCAGAGGAAAATGATTAATAGTACAGTTTTTCATAAAAGAATCTAATACTGCACACCTGGGCCATTTCACCCACACTACATATGTGCAGC